GTGCAGGCGTACGTTATCCCAGTTATTTAAATTCCCACACAGCCACGGCGCTTCCAGGGCCGTAATCACGGTGAAAGCACAACCACACAACCAAGGTGTCATTTCTTGCCTAAGCAGCAGAAAGCACCGTGACATCCAAACCTGAAAAAATAAAAATATCAAGATAAATGAACAGCATCTGATGTTCTTGTGGTGCTTTACAACAGGTTTGGGTGGCAACGAGGGCGACGCTCCTGGGAGCTCTGAGAGAAAATGTGCCAGATTTAGGCAAACACAACTGGCCTGGAGCATTCCTGAAGGATAAAGGAGGAGAAATAAAGAGGACAGGGATTTATGTCTGAGAAAAAGCTGGTGCGTGGTGAAAATCCACCTCACTGTCCAGCGTGGGTTCATTCTGCTCTTGCTTTTTGTGACTTTTCCTCAAACTCACCAGGAATTAACCCATGGTTTATTCCACCACCCAAAGCCTCGCCATCTCTTTGGATGTCAATGCAAGATTAATGATATTCCCGTGGAATTACAGAACTTCAGTTCTGGAATAAAACAATCCCCAGGCTGGAAAAAACTTCTCCTGGTTTGTATTTCAAATCGCAGCTCAAAGGGGAAAAGTGGCTTCATCAACAGCTTTGTTCTACACAGAATTTTTTTAGGAAAACTCCATTATTTGGATAGCAGGGTTTTTTCCACAGCCCAGCAGGATTAAGGAGCAGGAATTCTAATCCTGGGAATTTGCAGCGCGGTAGCTGAAGGACAAACGAACCTGCTGGATATAAATCCATATAAATCCTAAATCTTGTTACAAGTGCAGCTGAAGAGGAGCTGCAGAAGATTACATTCTCAAGCAGCAAAATTTCCTGAGAAGTGCTTTAAACAAATTCAGCGTTTTCTTTTTCCAAACTATGGAGTAGAACCGATCCGGCAGGAAAAAGCAAGTCATTTTCTGTGACCAGAAAATGGAAATACAAGGAATTATGAGGAAAAATTTCACTTCTCCCTTACCACCTTCTTTACTCTTCCAATCCTTCCCAGAAATCTCCATCCCTCTGCAAAACATGGGAACACAAGACTCAACCATGCTATGATTTTAATGTGTTTTTTTTTTTTTTTAAACATCATTATTATTTACCAAATGGATTAAATTCCCTCAATTTCTCAAACTGAAACCCAGCAGGAAGAGCAGGATGAGCCTCCAGAGTTACCAACCAGGAAAAAGGCAGCACCAGTTAGGAAATATTTACATTTACAGGCTCTCGTTACTCAAGGAACTCCTTCTGTTTGGCTGGACAAACAGAACTTGCACTTCAGATTTATTTTGATTTATGTGTTTGTGAGTAGAGCAGAGTTAAAGTCATTGTTTGACCACATGGACACAAGAAATTGATTCCAGAGACTTACAACACCTGACTGGAAAAGCTGGAGGTGAAAGTCTTTACTTGATGGAAAATAAAACAAGAATTCCACTTTTATTCTGGTAAGAGTTTAACTTCCCTTCTTTGCAAAAAGCCTTGAAAATGAGAAAATTAAGTTACAACTTTACGAAAAAGAGTTCCTGCTCTCACGCCTGCCCGAATCTCAAAGTTTTGTCTCCTGCCACTGCAACTTTTCACAAACCTACTCCTAAAATTCAAGTTCTCCTGATAATTCCTCCCCTATTTAATCCGATACACCTCCCGCTTAGAAAAGACGTTCCCCAAGTTCCTTTTTTCCTGCAATTCAGCCCTTGGTAAAAGATCCGTTTGGTTTTGGTGGAGCTGCAGAGGTTTAGGAAGAGACCTCAGAGCACCTCGAGGTGTGCAAGCAGAGCTCCAGGTGAAGGGGCAGGTCAGGAGGAAAGCCAGAGGAGCTTCGGGCTGGAATCCAGAGGGAATTTCCTGATGGAAAAGCTGTTCAACATCAGCAGGGGCTGCCCAGGGAGCTTTGGA